CTAAATTAGGGACGGCTAGCGCAGATATCCCTCGTGTAGCTTTGCGCGAAATTCAAAACAAATAAACAAAATTTATCAATCCTCGTTATTTAAAATTACAAAGATATGTCTTAATTGAGTTGAAAAGCATTTTAGTCTTTAACGCGTATAAGAAAACGGTCAATTTTTAATGTCTAATCCAAATAATTAATGGAACAGTTGTAGTAATCCTCAATTAACGTTATAAAGGTTATTTTATTCTGTAATAAACATGACTTAAATTTGTTACTTTAATCTGTAATTAAGATGACTGAAGTTTCAGTAATTAACACGTATTTGTTATTATTATTACCAATTAAATCACTAATAACTGAATTATCCACTTAATTATGTGTTATGAGGGAAGGAAAGTTGATAGTTACAGCTATATATCGACGAATTGACATGTACGTGTGTGTGTATATATATATATATATATCTTCGAAACTTTCTTCACGCGAGCCTGCCCATATGAAAAATTTCTACCTTCCTTCACTGTTAATTGTTACGTATGCATATATATTTATGCAAGAACGTAATCCGGGGTACATGACTGTTTCTCCCGGTGTCCTTAAAAATGAGGTCAGCCTCACTTGTCACAGTCAGGGTGTAGGTGTACCAGGGGTAAAGTAAAGCACAACACGATTGGCCGTCTTCAGCTTGTGTTGAGATGTATTATTAGACAACAGTACGGACATTTCCTTTCCTTTTTTGTTTTACTTGTCGAGCTTAATGTACGGAATACGGAATAATTTTAGTGCATTTCACACTCTGAACACACACGCGTATGTATCCATTGGTAAAAATGACGTCTGTTAATTACATCCAGAGATAAATAGCAAAACGGCAAATTCCATATTTTTTGCTTTTGTTTTCATTAAAAGTGTCGTTACATCTATCGGAAAGAGGGATTTATTTGGCTAGAACGGGAAATGAAATACAAATTTGGTTGTATCATAATTAATCCCTTGTCGTACGATATAAAGACGTGTATTTAAATAATCTAAAAAAACTGGCCTTACTTAAGTAGGGAAATATTGTAATTAACATAACGAAACTTGTAATCAAACAAATTAAAAGCTAACGGTTTAGAAGGGTAAATTGTAATTTTTTTACGTTTGTTTTTGTGTCATTCTCTCACTGAATGTCTTACAGATCACATATACAAGATACCCCCACACAAATACTTATATATGTATAAATGAAAACTTGAAATAGAGCGGGTATGTTACACAAGCCCCCCCCAGTGGCACAACAGTATGTCTGCAAACTTACAACGATAGAAACCGTTTTTCGATACCCGTGGTGGGCAGAGCACAGATAGCCCATTGTGTAATTTTTGTGCATAAATTCAAACAAACAAACAAAACATTATACAAGGTACATTATTAGTGAGCAGTAATTTGTTTTTTCTAGTTATTTTTAAATCTTGTAGATTTTTTTTGAAACACTGACGAATTTCAACTGATGTTTGTAACAGCAGTAGGTTAATAACTTGATAACCGACAGCTCATTTTATTATATGGCAATTTCCGAAAATTGCGCAATAGGAAATATGTGGTTAATTTTCCTTCTAAACAGATGTGCTGGTGGTTGTGAAACACTTGGTTATTTTAAGTACAAGCCCAAAACGAATTGATCTCGATTGATACGAGCATTTTATATCGTTCCCTCGCTTTGATCAGATATTAAATCCTTGGTGGGACAGCAGATACCCCCCATTGTGGCTTTGCTATAAAACAAATAATTAATTATTAAAGTTGTGCCTTTTTTGTTGCATAAACTAGAAAATTATATACGTGTAATAGACACGGGAGCTAGGCCTCTAATAGGGCCTCTTGAAACGGTACCTCAAACGAACTGCACAATATATTTGAAATTTGACTTTTGTAAATAAATATTGGAGGAATTGTAAATTTATTGTAAATCTACCATATTCGTCACTGAGTTATGGGAGTAATGGTAGATATATATTGTCTTTTTTTTTTTGTTAAGATAGTAATATTTGTTTGTTTTAAATTTCGCGCAAAGCTACACGAGGGCTATC